AGACGGACGCAGCAGACGGCGGGAGAGCCCAGTGGCTGCTGCTGCTGCTGCTGCTGCTGCTGCTGCTTCTGCTGCTGCTGCTGCTGCTTCTGCTGCTGCTGCTACTGCTGCTTCTGCTGCTGCTGTTGCTGCTGCTGTTGCTGCTGCTGCTGCTACTGCTGCTTCTGCTGCTGCTGCTGCTGCTGCTGCTGCTTCTGCTGCTGCTGCTGTTGTTGCTGCTGTGCTGCTGCTGCTGCTGCTGCTTCTGCTGCTGCTGCTGCTGCTACTGCTGCTGCTGCTTCTGCTGCTGCTGCTACTGCTGCTTCTGCTGCTGCTGCTGCTGCTGCTGCTGTTGCTGCTGCTGCTGCTGCTGCTGTTGCTGCTGCTGCTTCTGCTGCTGCTGCTGCTACTGCTGCTGCTGCTGCTTCTGCTGCTGCTGCTGCTGCTGCTGCTGTTGCTGCTGCTCAAACTGCCGGGTCTCCGTCTGGCTCTCAGACGCTTGTTGTTTTTCATTCGGATTATTGAAATCGTGGCTGCCAAGTCCGCCATCATCACACCTACATGGAAGAATTCCTACGGGGTCTCCTGTGGCAGGCGCCGCCAACCACGACAACCTGCTGCATCTAAGCGCTCTCTAGTCAAGCTAATAGAACGTCGCATTTTGACGTATACTCTCCCTAAGGCCAAAAATCGTCGTACTAGAAAATGGCAGTGACTCGCGTGTGAAATTTACACACTGTCCCGTTTTCTGTTTTGGGTCCTCTGGTAGGTTAGGATAAGCGGGATATAGTACGACAGTTTCTTGACGTTGGGGAACCTCAGGAGAACGGGCTGATATAGTTGCGTTTCCGTTCCGTTTAACAGCAAGTGCTGATATAATTTTCTCGCCCAATCGCACCCACAGGCTGAGCGTCTGCGCGTTAGTAATTGATTGAATAAGAAGTCGTCCTGTTTCACTCATTGGGTGATCAGGGTTTCGAGGGGCCGGCTGTAGCCAGATATTGTGGATAGGCTTTGTACATATGTACAAAGTACATATGTACTATATAGTACATATGTACTATATTAAGTCTCAAATATCGTATATTAGGCCTCGGGAGATTAGGCTAGATTAGTTTAGTCTATGTAACACAAGTACAAAATAGTTTTCTGATTTGTCCAACTCAATAGTGGCGATTGCTACTTTCTAATTTCGTTGTACGTCGGTATATGTACTATGGTGCTCAGCGGACCTATTACTATAGTACCTATAGTACCTATTACTATAGGTACTATAGTAATAGGTACTACCAACACAGGAGGACGGCCTGTCATTGGAGATACTTTTCAGTTCATTGACCCAATTTGGTCAATTTCCCTGGTACCAATAGTTACCGTGCCATGATTTCGCGGCTCAACGTCCCCGCGGCCCGGTCCCCGACCAGGTCTCCTGGTTGTTGGACTGGTCAACCAGGCTGTTTGACGCGGCTGCTCGCAGCCTTGCGTCCGTATCACAACGGACGTATTACAACGGTTGTTGCAACCCGTTCTCGCACTTGATTATAGTCAATATTGGCTTATTAATAAGTGCATATGCGACATACTAATTTATTGTGAATATTTGAGTTTACCTTAAAAAGATGAATAGAAACAACCGACCTAACCTAACCTTCTTAGTATGTTAATATAAGCAATTATCTTAAGCAGATTATTGATTAATCTGCTTAAACTTAATCAATACGATTAAGCAGATTAAGACTCTGCTTAATCTTATTGCTTATTAAGCAATAAGATTAAGATCATATTGCTTCTTAATTACAATTAGTACTTAACCAATACCTATATTGATAATACAGTTGTATAAAAATAATAAAACAAATCCAAAATATTTAAATAAATTGTAAAGTAACTCAGGATATTGTCAAATCTCTATTGAATAAAATCTCTATTGTTTAATACAACTGAAGGAAATTCCTAATGTTAAAACTGGTCTTTAGCAAATCTGTAGGAAGAGTTTGTACCTTAAAAGCAAAATATAACTTGGCATATACCACATATTAATCAGCCAAATAGTGACTATAAGCAATAAGTCATACATGTACTGTCTTGTGCGAGAGTGGGTTGGTTGATCAGGTAAATCTAGGTTCGTGTGACGCTTGAGGGCAAGGGAACGTTATTCAGAATCCCAGACAATAGTCTGCTCAAGCTTCCGTTTTGTTTTAGATCTTAAACTTCTCTTGCTCTGGGTCTTGACTTAGTAGTCTCCTCAAGATCTGTTCCTGCCATGCCTATTCCCTCAGCCCTGGATATACCTTTCTATTCCAGCATACTCCCAGACATATTAATATATTTTGTAATTCCAGCATGTTCTCAGACCTCGGGGTATACCTTGTATGTCCAGTATATTCCCAGACGACTTTAAGATTAGATGTTTGCTCCTTGAGACTGAAGTCACATCCGTTACTGATGTTATATATAAACTAAAAACTTGAAGTATTTAATTCTTAGATTAAATATAATTTGAATATAAATAATGTGAAGTGAACGAAATTGTGAACAAAATGGAGCAAGAGGAAGAACGAATGAACAAATGGTCTTAAAATGCTATTAGACCAGCATGGAGAGGCCATTTACGAAAGCTTGTAAGTCTCTGGTGGACATTTAACGGTCAAAATCCACCTGTTTCAGGATGTTCCTCAGAGAATTGGGAGCATCTCAGAGATTCTGCATCCCTGAGAGTCACAGTTTATCACAGGAATATCAAGAGGAGGGAAAGACCTGGGTAAAGACAGGCATGGAAAAAAGTTTTTTATTTTTGGAAGAAATTATCGGGTAAGACATGGGATCACTGGGTTGTTTCAAGCGTAGGTTAGACATATATATATGAATTGAATGATTGGATGTAAACAAGAGTAGAAGAAATAGTGACCACCCCAGAGAGGCAGACTCTGCTGGTCTGTTGAGAGGCTGGCAGCAGACTCTGCTGGTTTGTTGAGAGGCTGGCAGCAGACTCTGCTTGTCTGTTGAGAGGCTGCCAGCAGACTCTGCTGGTCTGTTGAGAGGCTGGCAGCAGACTCTGCTGGTCTGTTGAGAGGCTGGCAGCAGACTCTGCTGGTTTGTTGAGAGGCTGGCAGCAGACTCTGCTTGTCTGTTGAGAGGCTGCCAGCAGACTCTGCTGGTCTGTTGGGAGGCTGCCAGCAGACTCTGCTTGTCTGTTGAGAGGCTGCCAGCAGACTCTGCTTGTCTGTTGAGAGGCTGCCGGCAGACTCTGCTTGTCTGTTGGGAGGCTGCCGGCAGACTCTGCTTGTCTGTTGGGAGGCTGCCGGCAGACTCTGCTTGTCTGTTGGGAGGCTGCCGGCAGACTCTGCTTGTCTGTTGGGAGGCTGCCGGCAGACTCTGCTTGTCTGTTGAGAGGCTGCCAGCAGACTCTGCTGGTCTGTTGGGAGGCTGCCAGCAGACTCTGCTGGTCTGTTGAGAGGCTGCCAGCAGACTCTGCTTGTCTGTTGAGAGGCTGCCAGCAGACTCTGCTTGTCTGTTGGAAGGCTGCCAGCAAACTCTGCTGGTCTGTTGGGAGGCTGCCAGCAGACACTACTGGTCTGTTGGGAGGCTGGCAGCAGACTCTGCTGGTCTGTTGAGAGGCTGGCAGCAGACTCTGCTGGTCTGTTGAGAGGCTGCCAGCAGACTCTGCTGGTCTGTTGGGAGGCTGCCAGCAGACACTACTGGTCTGTTGGGAGGCTGACAGCAGACTCTGCTGGTCTGTTGAGAGGCTGGGTGTTAGTCAGCTGTCAGGGGCTGCTTCCTGGGGGTGGAGGCCTGGTCGAGGACCGGGCCGCGGGGACACTAAAGCCCCGAAATCATCTCAAGATAACCTCAAGATTGCCTAGTACCATCATTAAGGATGTATTTCGTTCATATATATTATAATTAACACAGCAAATAATTTAGCAACTGCTCCTTGCTCTCTTATTTAATTTTGTGAATTCATTTGTCTGCTCTAAAATATCCAAGTTATTCATAGTACTAATTCAGTTATTCATAGTACTAATTCAGTTATTCATAGTATTAATGCAGTTATTCATAGTATTAATTCAGTTATTCATAGTACTAATTCAGTTATTCATAGTATTAATGCAGTTATTCATAGTATTAATTCAGTTATTCATAGTATTAATGCAGTTATTCATAGTATTAATTCAGTTATTCATAGTATTAATTCAGTTATTCATAGTACTAATGCAGTTATTCATAGTATTAATTCAGTTATTCATAGTATTAATGCAGTTATTCATAGTATTAATTCAGTTATTCATAGTAATAATTCAGTTATTCATAGTATTAATTCAGTTATTCATAGTATTAATGCAGTTATTCATAGTATTAATTCAGTTATTCATAGTATTAATTCAGTTATTCATAGTACTAATTCAGTTATTCATAGTATTAATTCAGTTATTCATAGTATTAATGCAGTTATTCATAGTATTAATTCAGTTATTCATAGTATTAATTCAGTTATTCATAGTATTAATTCAGTTATTCATAGTATTAATTCAGTTATTCATAGTATTAATTCAGTTATTCATAGTATTAATTCAGTTATTCATAGTAATAATTCAGTTATTCATAGTATTAATTCAGTTATTCATAGTATTAATTCAGTTATTCATAGTATTAATTCAGTTATTCATAGTATTAATTCAGTTATTCATAGTATTAATTCAGTTATTCATAGTATTAATTCAGTTATTCATAGTATTAATTCCGTTCTTTAGTATTTTAATTTACAAATAAAAGTACATAACCTCTCTTGTTAGTGTCTGGAATTATTGAAACAAGGCAATTAGGGGTCATGTGACTGGTGTGAATGACCAGTTAACTAGACTAGTGAGTGGAAGTGAAACAAGCAGGAATGTAAAGTATAATTCTATACTTTAGAATAACATTTTAGAATTAGAATTTAGATTTAAGTTGAAGAAATTCTAAGTAAGGCAGCGCGCGACTTTACTGGAAGAATAAGACTGGGAGAGAATGGTGATGACACCATGATGAGTGGTGATGACACCGTGATGAATGGTGACGACACCGTGATGAGTGGTGATGACACCATGATGAATGGTGACGACACCGTGATGAATGGTGATGACACCGTGATGAATGGTGATGACACCGTGATGAATGGTGATGACACCGTGATGAGTGGTGATGACACCGTGATGAGTGGTGATGACACCGTGATGAATGGTGATGACACCGTGATGAATGGTGATGACACCGTGATGAATGGTGATGACACCGTGATGAATGGTGATGACACCGTGATGAATGGTGATGACACCGTGATGAATGGTGAAGACACCGTGATGAATGGTGATGACACCGTGATGAATGGTGATGACACCGTGATGAATGGTGATGACACCGTGATGAATGGTGATGACACCGTGATGAATGGTGATGACACCGTGATGAGTGGTGATGACACCGTGATGAATGGTGATGACACCATGATGAATGGTGATGACACCGTGATGAATGGTGAAGACACCATGATGAATGGTGATGACACCGTGATGAGTGGTGATGACACCGTGATGAATAGTGATGACACCGTGATGAATGGTGAAGACACCATGATGAATGGTGATGACACCGTGATGAATGGTGATGACACCGTGATGAATGGTGATGACACCGTGATGAATGGTGATGACACCGTGATGAATGGTGATGACACCATGATGAATGGTGATGACACCGTGATGAATGGTGAAGACACCGTGATGAATGGTGAAGACACCGTGATGAATGGTGATGACACCGTGATGAATGGTGATGACACCATGATGAATGGTGATGACACCGTGATGAATGGTGAAGACACCATGATGAATGGTGATGACACCGTGATGAGTGGTGATGATACCGTGATGAATGGTGATGACACCGTGATGAATGGTGATGACACCATGATGAATGGTGATGACACCGTGATGAATGGTGAAGACACCATGATGAATGGTGATGACACCGTGATGAGTGGTGATGACACCGTGATGAATAGTGATGACACCGTGATGAATGGTGAAGACACCGTGATGAATGGTGATGACACCGTGATGAATGGTGAAGACACCGTGATGAATGGTGAAGACACCGTGATGAATGGTGATGACACCGTGATGAATGGTGATGACACCGTGATGAATGGTGATGACACCGTGATGAATGGTGAAGACACCGTGATGAATGGTGAAGACACCGTGATGAATGGTGATGACACCGTGATGAATGGTGAAGACACCGTGATGAATGGTGATGACACCGTGATGAATGGTGAAGACACCGTGATGAATGGTGAAGACACCGTGATGAATGATGACTAATGCAGTCAAAGATAAATATACTACAATAAGAAAGGCTCTTTCTCTAAATAACTGTAGACTACGAAGTCTGGTTCAGTACTCAAGAGTACTGGTTCAGTACTCAAGAGTACTGGTTCAGTACTCAAGAGTACTGGTTCAGTATTCAAGAGTACTGGTTCATTTTTCAAGAGTACTGGTTCAGTACTCAAGAGTACTGAACCAGTACTCAAGAGTACTGGTTCAGTACTCAAGAGTACTCGTTCAGTATTCAAGAGTACTGGGTCATTTTTCAAGAGTACTGGTTCAGTACTCAAGAGTACTGGTTCAGTACTCGAGATAGTACTCAAGAGTACTGGTTCAGTACTCGAGATAGTACTCAAGAGTACTGGTTCAGTACTCGAGATAGTACTCAAGAGTACTGGTTCAGTACTCGAGATAGTACTCAAGAGTACTGGTTCAGTACTCGAGATAGTACTCAAGAGTACTGGTTCAGTACTCGAGATAGTACTCAAGAGTACTGGTTCAGTACTCGAGATAGTACTCAAGAGTACTGGTTCAGTACTCAAGAGTACTCGTTCAGTATTCAAGAGTACTGGTTCAGTACTCGAGATAGTACTCAAGAGTACTGGTTCAGTACTCAAGAGTACTGGTTCAGTACTCAAGAGTACTTATTAACTACTCAAGATAGTGACAATGTCGGTCAACACTCGGACAAGAGGGGTTTACTTATGGCTCAAGGAGACCCGACAATGAACCAATAGAACGCAACTCGGTTCTTAATTTAACTTAACTGACACTAACTTAATCTGGCATAATCTAATTTATTCAAACCAAACACAACGTAACCTAAGTTATTCCGCCCTGACCCCATGATAACCCAACCTCTCCTGCCAACAGAAGCGAGCTCCGGAGAGGCGCTGCCCGCGCCCTGGTGCCCAGCCTGGTGACCTCGGCCAAGAGTGGTGACTACTCGGCCGCTGTGTACGCTGCCAGACTCGCCAACGAGCTGGTCAACCTGGAGAAGACCAGGAACAAGGTCTACACTGACTTCATCTGTGAGTGTTTACCCTCAAGTCTCTACGCTATGTATGTTATTATTGTTTGGGAATATTTAGGGTGAGAGTACTGCACAACGTAACATAACTACCTAAAACACACACACACACACACACACACACACACACACACACACACACACACACACACACACACACACACACACACACACACACCAGGCTGGGTTCATATGAACATCGAAGAATTAGGCCACTAAAGCTGGTATTTGTAAATGAAGTGGCACGGAGAATCCTAATGAGAGACAAAGGTAACTTGAGAGTTACAGAAGGCTGCAGAAAGATATACGTTTAATGTAACATACCTAAAGGTGAAATAATGAGAAAGATAAAATAGAACAGAAAGAGCAAGGTGGGAAGGAAAGAGGAAAGTTGGTGTGGGGGAGGAGGGAAGAGGAGAACAGAGAGAAAGAACCCACATGACTTACCAGTAGCCTCATTAACCCAGGATCCAGACCTATATCCTTCCCCCTGCCAAACCTTACCACCTCTCAACACCAATCTTCCCAACCACTTGAGCTGGATGGTAGAACGACGGTCTATACCGTCCATGCAGGTCGGTGTTCAGTCCCCGACCGTCCAAGTGGTTGTGCACCATTCCTTTCCCACCGTCCCATCCCAAATCCTTATCCTGATCCCTTCCAAGCGCTCTAAAGTTGTAATGGCTTGGCACTTGCCCCTGATAATTCCATCCCTCCCTCCCTCAACACCAAGCTATCATTTCATGCATTCCTTTTCACACCTTCAATAACTATACTCTATCGATCCCCATTAATTCCTTTTCAATGGCCTATGTCCAAAGCCCAACCCCCTTACCATTTACCTAACTAACCACCTATAACTATTCTCTCATCTCAGGTGCTCTCCTCCAACTAGTCTTACGACCCTCTCCATACCTTCTACACCTGGACCAACCCAGTACCCACACACCCAAGCTGGGAGCTCCCATAGAGACTAGAGCATCAATGAAGAATATAACAAGCTGGTTCACAAATGCTGATGGAGTGGCAAACAAAGCAGAACTAAACGAAAGGACTGACGAAACAATCCCTGATGTTAATGCAATAGTAGAAACTAAACTAACTAAACATGATCAATAATGCATTTTTCCTGTGACAATGCCAGAGAGGAAGAAGAAAGCACAAGGGTAAAGTGGAAGTGTCAATGCAGGTAAAAAAAAAAAAGTCAACAGGTTGAACGAGATCAATTTCTGAGAGGACACCAATGATGCAAACTCTTCTTGTAGCTATATATTGTGTGGAAAAAAATAGTAAATTTGACTGTGATTTACAACTTCTCACTGGTGTAGTTGGTTTAAGTCTCTCAGTGCTTTAAAGTCTTTATGGAGGTGTTGTGAGTCCCCTCATCTCCGGGTCATCCCCAGCATCCTGGTGGAGTCCTCTCATCTCCTGGTCATCCCCAGCATCCTGGTGGAGTCCCTTCATCTCCAGGTCATCCCCAGCATCCTGGTGGAGTCCCCTCATCTCCAGGTCATCCCCAGCATCCTGGTGGAGTCCCTTCATCTCCAGGTCTTCCCCAGCATCCTGGTGGAGTCCCTTCATCTCCAGGTCATCCCCAGCATCCTGATGGAGTCGCCTCATCTCCGGGTCATCCCCAGCATCCTGGTGGAGTCCCGTCATCCCCAGCATCCTGGTGGAGTCCCCTCATCTCCAGATCATCCCCAGCATCCTGGTGGAGTCC